CAGAGGGGAAAAATATTTTTATCTCTAGCGCGCGAGACTGTGTATTGGAAATTTTAAAGCTATCCTCTTTTTAAATTATTTTGTGTTACTGGTGTTGAACTGAATTTAATGGTTTAAGTGCCAAGAACGTGATATGTAATAATTAAAGGTAATACACAAAACGTTAAAAAAAACGCCCCTTTAGGCGTAATATAAAATCTGAATGTTTTTTAATGTTTTTTTTTTTTTTTTTTTTATTTTACTTGTTACTTGTTTGATTTTCATATGTATTATTTCATCCATAGGTTATTTTACTGTATTTTTGCTTTTACTAGTTTCCAACGCTGAGTATTTTACTGTTTTTTTTTTTTTTTTTTTTTTTCCTTTCTCGTGTAGCATATTTCTCACCTTTCAATGACATGTTTCTTAAACGTTTGAAACGTTTTGGAGCTACAGCTCCTGGTAACTTTTAGGCGAGCTTACTACAATTTCTAATTTACTTATTTTGCAGCATATTGCGCAAAATGTTGTCTAGACCAAATTGGTCATACAGTATTGTAATAACTACCTTGCTTGTTATATATATATATATATATATATATGTATGTATTTTGCTTATAAATAAAAATTATATTTGAGAAATGTAGTTGCAGCTACCGAAATTGTTACTATTAAGAATTATTATCACGTTCTTCATAGAAGAGCCTTCATTAGCAGTTGAACTTACACGTGTATTTAAAAACAAGTAAATTATCCTTATCTTACAAATTCAGCATCCTGTTTTTTTTTTTTTTTTTTTTTTTTTTTTCGCCCTGTATAAGCGAAATCACCCTAGAAATGTTTGTGTATTAGAATTGTAAGCTTTTCTTAATTATTAATTATTCCGAAGCGATGAAATTTTCAAGATCACTAATTTAAATAAGAATACTGTTGTTGTCAATAAACTGAAGTCAGCTATTGGAAATATAATTACTGAATACATTTTAGTGTTTTATATATTTATTTACTTAGAATCAAAAGCTTTTGTTCTGTTGGTGATACTGCAATCAAGGGCTGCTTTTTACAATCCATTGCATCTTAGAATGTAAGAAATATACTAATTAAAAGGCTCAGGATCAAACTTTACTCATATAGTGCAAACTATTCAAAATTATAGCTTTTAAATTAGAAGTATGTTAATTAAATTAAAATGAACTAGCATGACTGCAAATTATTCAACTGTCTATATTTAAAAAAAATTCTTATGCATTCAACAGCGAAGATACTGCCAAAATGCTAGAGATAATGAGAATTTATATCTATCTGCCCGTGCTTTCCCGGGAAGTAGGGCAATTTATTGACAAAAGCGTCAGATTTTGCATTGATTACATAAAAAAATAAAATGACTACCGCTGTGTGCAAATTATCCGACATAAGGTTTTCGTTGTTTTCGTAGCTGTTTATGCTTGTCTGGCGCTTGCGCTGTAAAACCTCGAATCACGACGCCTCCTGGTGGATCGATGTGGCGTCGAGAAGGCGATGTCTATTATACATTACGGGTACAAAGCGAGGGCGGATCCAAGACGGAAATTTTAAGGGAAGGAGACATTTTTAGATTAAAGAATGAGGAGAAAATAAGAAAAAGTGTTGAAGGAAGCTGAAGATACCAGAGAGAGGGAGAAATACGTATTTGGAATCTTGGTTGGGAATAAGAGCCGGTATGGGTCGGAAAGCTAGAATTCAAAAGTATGCGTTAGATGGTATCTTCAGAGCAATAACTAACCAGTTGGTTAGGCGTAAAAATCCATTAATCTAATAATTACCTGAGCACAGATTATCCATGGCTCGTCTTTCAAAAACCGGTCGAAATCAATGCAGCCGTCTCTCGGATTTCCATCCGGAGACTGTTTTTAATACAAATTTCCGGTTTCTGGTTTTATGAATTGAATCTCCGGATTAAATAATACTTCTTTGTACATCAATTATGTTGCTATTTGGTAAGCCTTTCACGATGAGAGAATGAATATACCTTTTTTATCTCAACTGGAATCGGAAATATTGAGAATTCACTTCGTTTCATTCCTTAACCCTTTGTGACAGTGCCACATTTCTGACTTACGCGGTGGAAAGCCTTATTTTCCCCACAAATGAATTTCAGTATGTATGTTACTGTGTGGCATGACAAACATTCGGACAATACTGGACTTATTCCCGATATTTTAATCATGTTCTATATGTATAATTGCAGTTACGTCATCTTCTATATGGATTTTTAAATGCCTAATGCTGTCATCGTGATAAAATATAATAATGCTATCATCTTGAACAAATCATAATGTTTTCTTCATAATTCCTTGAGAAAAAATTCCATTGATGTTAAATCTGCAAATTCATGATGCTTTCCAAAACCTCCGTTCCACTGCAGGAGATTTTCTGAATCTTCAGTTTGGTCTAAGACAAAATTATCACAACAAATTATCACAGACAAATATACAAAACAAATTATCACAGACAAAATATCGCAACAAATTATCACAGCAAATTATTATCACAGAAATGTGTTCTTTTCCGTATTGGAAGTTGATATTCGGATAACTTTCTATACAAATGTGTACTGTATACATATAATATGTTTCTATACATGTGTTTTCTATCCATGTGTACACTGTGCATTTGTACTGTAATAGGACATTTCAACGTTGGTTTTATTAACACATATGACAACTGACTGAAGCACATTCAAATCATTTTAAATATTCTGTAGCTAGAAATGAAATTTTCCGTACCTTTAAGTTATATCGGTTAAAATCACTGAAGCCGAAGTCTAAGAATGGCATAAATAATATAGTCCAAAAGCATGGAATTACACTCCTCTAGTTTGCATTATCAAATAAAAAAAATCCGTTAAGCGCTTTTCCCCCCCTCTTAATGTGCCACTTACATGCATGCGATAAACAACAAACGCTCTAACGCTACAGTTAGCAAACGCTAACTGAGCATATATCGCTCAATAACCGTAGTCGAGTTTAGTAACAAAGCTGATATCAAAAAAGAACTCTGCATGTGTACTGTGTAAAGTTAGAGCGTTTGCTGTTTATCGCATGCATGTAAGTGTCACATAAAAGAGGGGGAAAAGCGCTTAACGGATTTTTTACTTACTTGTACGAAGTAAAAAGCGTTAGGATTAGGCGAAGATGAAACGAAATAATAAATACATAATATTAACTACAACTAAATAAAGGTGGATCAATTATTTTATTGTTTTTATATTATAACATGACAAACTTTGTGCAACAAAGTAACAGTTGTGTAAAGTTAACAAAATCAGTCAGTTTATGAAATTAATCACAAACTTCTAATGAATGGGGAGAAAATACAATGTCTATTGCTGAGTCTTTTAAAAGTTAAAGTTATTATTTATAATAGTTCTTTTATAAATATTGCATGAAGTTGTGTACATCCTTTGTGACACTTGATATATTAAAAAGTGTATTACCATTACATTAGCCGATCTAAAACCATATCAAGTTTATGTAAATTATTCTTCCATCTTAACACTTTCCTCTTGTGTGTCCATTGCCTCTTGTATTTATGTATTATTTCCCTCCAGCTTTGTATATTACGTTAGCGAAAATACTCTATTAAAAGATGTGACCTGAAACTTAAATTCTGGTTCTGATTATGTAATATGTGCTGTAACTATAAAGAAAAAAAGTTTAACAAGTAACAGTAGACCCTTTCGTAGTAACCACCGTCGGAAAATGACCAGTATTTCTGAGAACTTTTGCTATAAGATATTTTCTCCCTTCTTTCCGCATGCCTTCGTGGTGTAATTGGAAGCACACTCGATAGGTCCGGCGTTCGAATCCAGGCGACTGCATTGCACATTTTTCATGTCAGCCTGTTTAAAAAAAGATAAGACTCTACTAGTGGCGCCCGAACTGAAATGTGGTGGATGATAATTACTCGCCACCATGAATTGGTGACTGAACCCCTCATTCCCTGTCGCCCTTTAAAAGGGGAAGTATATAAAGTATTTCCCTCCTTCTTTCCGCATGCCTTCATTGTGCAACTGGAAGCACAATCGATGCGCATTCGAGAGGTCCATCGTTCGAATCCCGACGAGGTCATTGCCCAATTTTCTCGTCTCCAGCATGAAAAAGTCCTAATAACTCTTACAGAGTAACATCAGTAATGAACATCATCTTATAAGATATTTCTCCACTTTCCTAGCGTGCCTTCGTGGTGTAGCGCTCTGCACGCTGGGTCGGTATTCCAGAGGTCCGTAGTTCGATTCCCGGCGAAGGCGATTGCTCATTTTTCATCTGTCCGGCTTCCAAAAAAAAAAAAAAAAATCCTAATGTCTCTACAGTGGCGCCCGAACTAAAAGAGTGTTGGATGAAGTTTCTCCACACCCAAGATTTGGCGATTGGGTCCCCTAAAAACCCCAGTCGCCCTTTAAAAGGGGGGAGTATATAAGGTATTTCTCCCACTTTCCTAGCGTGCCTTCGTGGTGTAGTGGTCTGCACGCTGGGGCGGTATTCCAGAGGTCCATGGTTCGATTTCCGGCAAAGACGATTGCTCATTTTTCATCTCTCCGGCTTCCCCTCAAAAAAATCCTAATGTGTCTGCAATCTCACTTCAGAGAAGACCAAAATAGTCTGTAACTGTTGGTGGTTATATCGAAGAGTTCACTGTAATTTATATTAATTCTTCCTCGTAAAGATATGAGGACTATTTTTGAAAGTGACTAGTAATTCTGCAAATATAAATACACATCGGTACTATATATTTTTCCTCTATGACGACCATCTTCGCAAAAGACCAAAATCATTTGGAACCATGGGTAGTTGTCTCAGAGAAGACTACCCATCGTTCCCAATTTTTTTCTAGATTTTATATATTGGGGAGTACAAAAGGGTTCACATTGAAATTGTTTTCTTACACTGGGGAAAAAATATTTTATTGTAAAAATTTTCAGTATTTTAATATTAGTATACTTTATTTCAACACTCGCTGAACAATGCATTTACTTTTGATAGGATGGAAGCGTCACCTTGTCCTCGTGGTAAACATCATCCATGTGCATTTTCCTGGCCGACGGAGAACATTGATGTGTGATGTGTTTGTATTCCTTTTCGTTTTGGACTTTCACTTGCGAGAGGCATGTCGAAGACTGGGTGTGCTGCAACCGAAGTTCCTAAGTGCAAAAAAACTGTGTGTATATTAAATATTCTATGAATATTCAGTGATGCCTGGACTATACGTTGAATATTGCTGGACATTCTGCAGGAGTTGCGTATGTTAAAATGTACATTTGTTTACCTGAACTTTCTTTACTCTTTCAAATGTAACAAATCACATCTCGTATAATAAAATTTCATTACCACGTTAGAGATTGTTCTGTTCAAAGAAGCAGCTTGAAATCGAAGTTTCTGTGCTGGATTGATGGTAAAATAGTTTTTAACGCACATCATAAAGAGTTTATGCTCGTACATGTAAATATGAACAATTAAATAGAAATGTAACAAACCTGAGACTTCAAAAAATGACGCAAAATCAAATGACTAACTCAAATATTTAGATATATTATGAATTATCTCGATCTTTGTGGAATATGTTTGAAGTTAGAAGCTGCCATAAATGGTTACCAAATGTAATGAACTTTCTCATGTTGACCACTTCCCTAATATGACTACCCCTGAAAGTGACCAGTATTTCTTTTTGTATTCAATGTGATCTCTCTACAGTCCCCTCCAGAAGACCTAAACTATTGGGACCATTGATGATCGATCATCTTAAAGAAGGTTCATTGTATATTTGTTTTAGAGGTTAATAGCTGATAAAATTCACGTTTTTCTGTCTTGTTCAGTAAAAAATGTAATTTTAAGTACTATTATTAGCAAACTGAATGTTTTATCGTTGCAATAACTGAATCTGGTATTAAGATGAAATTTGAAAAATCAGATTTAAAGCGTTTTTTGCTATGTATTCTTTCTTAAAGATAACGTATGAAAGTCGTCAGCATTTCTAAGGGCATAAATAAACATCCAGTTTCATCCTGAACATTCTTTCTCGTAGAGGTCACCTTCAGAGAAAACTAAAATCATTTAAAACCTTAGAAAGGAGTTCGTTCTATATAAATGCCCTAATCGTGGCAAAACAGCTCACAATATTTTTGCTTCATAGAAAAGGACGTATGCTGCTTTCTTCAGACGTAGAGAATATTTTCACAAAACCATCATCCAGTAAAGTTTGAATGCCATATTTTCAATTTAAATCTACTATGCATCTTTTCCATAAATACCATTTGAAATTAAAGAACATGGAATTTCCGGAGAAAGTTCCAGTGTCATAAAAGAATGCTCAGTTATTATCGTATACGTTCCATCTTCTGCACAGCAGAGAGGAATTTTGTGAGTCAAGGAAAGACCGCAGTTATTGTTCTTTTCCTCTCACCGATTGTTTTTATTTTTTTTCCCGGGGGGTGATGAGTTGCTCGAAGAGCGGCCCAGATGAAAGGAAGACCACCTAAGAGATTCCGGTTGTGTGATTACCTGCTAGTCTTTTGTTTCGTAGAGGAAAACAAAACTGCATTCTTGCGGGCAAAAGATCTTATAATTTTTTTTGCTTTTATCAATATCCCAAACAATTTTTTTAAAATTTCTTTACCTGTCTTTTTGTTCTTTAATAATTTCCGAAATTTTTTAACATCTTCTAAAAACTTCCTTTTAGAACCATGATTTAAATTATTGATCTGAAAATTTATAATAATATCCCATCTAAAGACTTTTAACACATTTAACACACACAGCGTAGGTGAGAGATGCCTTCTTGAAACGCCTCATCAGTGGCCGAGTGTTTAAGGCTGCTGATTATTGGTAACTTACCCGTGCCCGAACCCAGGCGAACGGGCCTGCTAGATGGTTCGTTTTTGTGGTTGTTCTCATATGTAACTTGAATACGAACTAGTTTTCCTCAGGAAGCTCTCCACGAAGGCAGCTTTCTTTCTTCATCCAAATAGCCGTCATGTGCTTTGACATAATCAAATAATCTAACCTAACCTAGCTTTCGTAAAGCGATTTTCCGAAGCAAACATAATTTTCCCTTTTCTTACGCATGGAGAAAACGACATGCAGTCTGCCCATTTGGAAGGCATTGAACTGGTATGAATTATTTTTGTTCAATGCTAGTAGGATTCACGAACTGAAAGAAACTTCTGTCTGCGATTTTAAGAAATATTACAGAATGTTAACAGTTTTCGTTACCTTTGAACAAATATCGACATATTAATGACACTATTAAATTGTAATGAAAATTTGTATAGTTCTTGCATTTTTATATGTGTGCCATTGAAAGCACTATCATGTACTCTAATAGTTTGCTTCTCAGTTGTACTCACGGTATAATCGACTTTTCTGATGTCTTGTGTTTAATGGATTAAAAGCAGAAAATTAGCTGAAGAAATTCCATTCAGGAGTAAGTATCCGAAAATAAAATAATACATATATATATACATATATATAAGAAATATCTGGGTCATTTAGAGGTTCTAAGATATTGGTGTATAAATTTGATGATTTAATTCAGATCCTTTTACAATTTAATAACCGAACAAAATTTTTTAAAAATAAATTAATTATAAGAGTATGCGTGGCAGTGAACAAGAGAAGTTTCACTGAAAAAGAATACATAACTCGGTAGAAAGAAAGCGAGTTCTGGGGAATCTTACAAATTCGAATTGGCGCATTTTTTTCTTCCTTCGAATCTTTAGTCATAATCCCCCCCCCAAAAAAAAAAAAAAAACTGAACATTTTAACTCAAAAATTTTCAAAGAATTAGTTTTACTGACGTTTAATAGAGAGTCAAAACAGTGTCATATGTATGTTAAGATGATTTAAAGTTTCATCTGAATGAAAGTTCTTTTATTTAATCTAAAAATAATTGGTCTTAACACGTAAATATATGCATTCTATTCATTTAATTAGTAAAGCACTTTGTAATGAGAATTCTGAGTGCTTCGAATGTCAAAAATTGTAACGTAATAATTATTAAAGGACATTACAATCAGAATTATTAGGCATACGCCTTCAGATTATTAACTTAACACCTTCATTAATTTCTGTATTGCTTACACAGAACTTGGAAAGTTTTCTAGAAAGTCAAGATGCCAGAAACTCCACCTAACGGCTGGTAGCATTGATTCATAGCAGTATGGAAGCAAAAGTGGAATATTCTTATTTTTTTTTTTTTTTTTTTTTTTTTTTTTTTTTGCAATCTCTCAAAATGGCTTCTTCTGACTTTGTTTTAATTGGGAATACTGGTGACTTTAAAGCCTAAAATTAAATCAATTAACAGAAATAAAAGTATCATTTAATTACACACACAACTAAAAAATAAAGCTTCTTATTGAAAAACTAATAGAAAATGTTCCATTTTCAAAATTCTAAAGTTCAAAATTCATAAGTCCAAAATTCTAAATTTAGAAAATAAGTTCACTTTTTTCTTCCAAAGGTTCAAAATCCAGGATGAGCTTAATAAGTAGAAAATCATCAAGCAGTACTTAAAGACTAAATTTTTGTAGAAAACACTTATTTTTCATAATTGTTACGACGAACGCGTAAACAAACATAGCTACAAAAACACAGCATATCTACATAAAATCACAGAGGATATTAAAAGAATTACATCCGACGTCAAATGTCTCTCTTTTTGTTTTAACTGAATTGCTTTTGCCACCTGTTGATAAAAAAAGAAAGGTTTATGCTTTTTGTTTGTGTGTGTGTGTGTTTTTTTTTTTTTTTTCCTTTGGAACTAATACAGGCAGGACTGTTCTCTGCTTTTCCTTTCAGAAAATGTTACTGGTTTTAAAGCAGAGTTCTCAACTAGAGGGTAATTTTCAGTAGGGGGGATGCGGTCAGCCTTTTATTTATCTGTTAATTGTTTAGCTTTAGTTTATCAATATATTAAAAAAAAAAACTACTTTTATTCAAGTTTTACCAACATTCTCTATAATCTTTATTGTTTAACAGGTTAAAAAAGAATCTAAATATAACTTACTGTATATATGTATTTTTCAAATCTGGAAAGGTGGGGGGGATGATTTTCTAGCGAGGATAAAAGGGGTATATGGAGCAAAAAAGGTTGATAAACACTGTTTTTAAAATGTTATGCTTATAAAATGTTTGTTGTTGTAAAATTATAAGTAGAATGGAAGCCTGAATTCGCCACTGATGGAGTATTGTTGGATTACTGCTGAATTCTACAGAAATTCGTTTTAATTAATTAAATTTACAACACTGAAGTTTAGAACTTAAAATGGCAACCAAGCTATGAATGGAAGAAAAACAGATATCTCTCTCCCAGTGTTTGGCCTTAAGGAAGGATTCAGCCAACTCATTGATTTTAAATTCTGACTGCAGAAGGGGCATGGCCTTGAAATTCGATATATGCTCATCCAAACTGCTGTGATCTGACATCCCCCAAGTTATATGGGTGATACAGGCCAATGATGATATACTGCTAATACTGATTTCAGACATATCGTATGACGTAACCTCACCACTTTAATCTTCACAGATCTCTGTTTCTGCAACGGAGCACTCACTCATACGTAACGGCAATAAATAGTATTTCAGGGTCAAAGAGCAATTTGGTCTCTTCCTTCTGCAACCCGTTTCAAACGCGGAAATTGCTATCAGTGGCAAGTTCAAGACCAAGATCACAGAGCTCTTTAAATTCCTGTCGAAGACAGCGAAGTAAAAATGAATGCATGTGTTGTCGTGAATGCAAATTTTCGAAGTGGATGAGGAAGTCTTTGAATTTTGTTCATCGAAATTCCTATCGCAACTAGTTTTCTAAATTTTGTTCTTGAAATTTTAACCAAAGAATTTCTAATGGGTTGTTGCTGCGTGAAACTTATATGCTTTTATTAGATATTCAGGAGGAATATTTTGATTCCATTGAGCGGATAGCTCGGATTCATAATCCTCAAAATAGAAAACGCTATCTTTCTCAATTGTAGAAAAGTTTGTAATAGTTAGTGAACATTCTCGTGAATGTTACCTTCGTAAGAAGACTACCTCTGAAAGTGACCCGTATTTCAGAGTCAATAAACCTCAGCATTCAATATGAGTTCCCTAAGAGGGAATATAAAATATATATAACCACGGAATATAAAAATCATTTGGAACCGTAGGTAGTTGTTTTAAAAAGGATTTATCATGCATGGCACGATATAGAAGCAAATGATTTTTTTAAAGAACTATAATAAGCTTTTGAAAGTTCTGAAATAAATTTAAAGAGTAAGTAAAATGTTTCCGAATAAAAAAAGTTTTAAGTTTGGTTTAAGAAGTCTTAGTTTCATGATGCCAAGAGCATGCAAACGAAAGCTTTGGAATATTCTGTTATTTACAGAATACGCCAACTAATTAGTATATTAAATGAGTTAATTCATGTATATTATTCATGTGTATTAGATCCATATAAATCTGCAAACTGCTTAATTCTACATTTAAAAAAAGAGCTGGAGTACAGTACAGTACTACAGTATGAAAAAACAGTACTTCTAAAGTGACTTATATTTTGTAAAAACGGAGAAAACAGATTTACTTAAACAGTTGTAGAATATGCATGGTTATAAAAAAATATTTCCTTAAATGGTCTGGGGGAAATTTAGCGTGGATATAGAAATTGAGGAAATCAAAAGAATGACTGACAGCTTACATAGGAACAAATTTAAAAAAATGGAGAACGAGAATCATTCAAATCTCGCAAAATTATGCTTCTAAAAATGCAAAAATTTTCTAGAAATTACAGAAAAACAAATTAA